TCAGGCACTTGACTGCTAACCAGAAGGCTGGCGGTTCAAACCCACCAGCCACTCCTCGGAAGGAAGATGGGGCAATCTACTTCCGTAGTGATACTGCCTAGGAAACCCAAGGAGGGGTTGCTATGAGTCGGGCCGGCTTGATGGCACATAACAACAACAACAACATGCCCTCATTATTGGTTATTTATTCAGGTTATTGTTAGTATATGTAAATAATGCTAAAATAAACAAACTTACTTATAATTTTCTTAAAATATGTCATGTTTTTCTGCTATGAAAAATACTATAATAATAAAAAAAAAACTTTTGTCTCATCGTGGGCTGCTTTCAAAGGCAGTGGAAGAAAGAGAAGTTTAGGGACAACTGGGAAAACAAATTAACTCACTGGGTGTTGGGTATTTCTCTGTCTATCGTCAGTCCTGGGTTTTCCAGATTTCCAAACCATACCACTTTTGGGAATTTCTCCCTGAAGATAGGTAAAATGAAATGACTTATTTTACCTTTGACCGACCATGATTTCTTGTCCAATATGCCCCATTCTTAAATCTATTCTGTTACAATCAGGAAAACTGTTTTGTTTCATTTTAAATTCCCCCTTCCCTTAGAAAAAAAGGCAATCATCTTATCAAAAATATTTTATTTACAAAAGAATCAATTATACTATACATCCTATGCTGGAAATACATTGAATAATTGCTAAAATAAATACAGGCAATTAACTCAACTTTTTATAAGAATGAGAGAATTTGACATTTGAATGTTATCAAAGCTTAACTTAGAACATAAATAGTTAAAAAGGCAAACTCAAGTTTTAGACTCATTTATTGGCATGGTGTGTTTGTTTCCCACAAGCTCTCCAATCGGTGAGAGTCTGAGTTTCAAGACAGTATGTACGTTTTTGTACTCCAAAGGTAGAATGTGCAGCTTTTTCTTAGGCAGGATTCTTAGAACTTGGGTATCTGCAGGAAAAGGAAGCATGAAGGACGGAAGCATATCTTTTGAGCACTACTCCACCTTTTTCTACTTCAACACAATTTCCATGCAATTACTCATGTGCACTAATTGTGTTTTTAACCAGGTCTATGCAGGACCAGCTACAAGGCAAGATTGGTTGTGTCAGAAGTCCAGCTGGATAATTGGGGCCCTGGAGTAACTTATCAGCCAAGTTCAGAGTACCTGTCTTCAATGTCTACATGTGCCAATTCTAATAGAGCTATTAAACCTTGATAGCATTCCTACTTTGTAAACATATTTATGTAGGCCATGAACAGGAGAGATGAAGCAAATACCTGTATAATTCAGACATCAGTCCCTGCAAGTAAAAGAGGGCACTTGGATCTTGAATTTGCCAATTCTGAATCTATTTGTTTTATATTTATTGTAATTTATCCAACTTTCCCATGTAAACCTCATATCTAACATGTGAAATGTGCTGGTAAGCTGAAAAAGACAAGTGAAACATGTTCTGTAAAACATACAGGATCTGGAGAATTCAGGGCACAAAACATAACCTTTGATGAATTGTATTATGTTTGTCTAAATTATATAGATAATCTTTTCCACTTTCCATTTTACTTGGCCTGGGACAATGCTTCCAGAATGTTCACAGATTATTCATTTTTAATGTTCATGTTTTGTCCAGTGCTGCGTTCTTGGTGTTTTCTTTCAAGAATTAGCATTCCCTTTTATCTTGCGAAAAAATTGCACTTTTCTACCCCTTTGGCCTTGATTTTCAATTTTTTTTTTTTCTGTACACACATAAGAATGTACTTCTACTCCCAAAGTGTGACAGTTATACTGGCCTTTTCTAAAAGAATTTTTTTTAAAAAATTAAAATATTCAAAGTTTAAATACTTCTTCACAGAAATAAACTATTCAATTTTACAAGGTAGAGAGAGAAATATTTTATTCTTTCTATCATGAACAACATGATTCAACCAAGCTTCACATTTTGGGCATTTTTTTTTTTAAGTTTTGATTTTTTTTCAAACCTTTTTTTTTTAAAAAAAAGAGGAAGAACAAGTGTATTTTGGCAGAGAAGTAAAATATAGAATATGCAAAATTTGTTTTAAAAATTGGCATACAAAATTTTAAAACACAGTACAATTATAAAAATACAGCACAGCCAACAGCCTTTAAAATTTCCTTTGGCATTTCATTTGGTAGAATTAAACATAAAATCATTCCTAAAAAAATTAGCTATCAAAACAGTCCATAAGTTAGGTTGTTTAGGTTGAAAGAACTTTTCCTTGAGTTTCTAAAATTCTTCTCTTCCATGTAACCCACATACAGCATGGCAGTGAGGTATATAGGGCAAAACATTGTCAGGCAGAGGCACAGTAAGGAGAAAGTGCATAAACAAGGAAGCCATCCTATGTTCATAGGAATAAAAGGCTAAATCTGAGTTTCTTCTTGTTTGATGTATCATTTTACTTTGGCAGAATCAACATAAACCCATAGAAACGTTTTTGTTCAAGTCTCAGCAGCAGTGATATGTCTCCTTTGGTGGCATTATCTGATGTCACAATACTGTACAGTTCCTGGAGGAACCAAGGTGTCGTGTGTGTCTGTGTGTGTGACTGCACACTTCAAACAACATAAGATCATACATCAAGCACCATGTCAAACTGTTGCCCCTTCTTCCGCCTGCCACACTTATTGATGAGAACTACATACAGCATCAAAAGCATGACCCAATAGCATGCATAGACTAATGCGCCAACGATTAGAATGGTCTGTTTGAATTCTGAAAATGGCTTTTTAGATTCCTTATAAATGGTGAAAATCACACCACCCAGGAGGATGAGAAACCATATTGATACTGGAATGAGTCCTATGAAATTAACAACAATAGTTTTCCTTCCAGATGTGCCCCACCCAGCTTTGTTTATAGTTGCGATTGCAAACATCTTGGCGGGAAGTAAACTTGACATGTATAACACTGAGTAGAGGGACATGAAGACCATGATGATGTTTCCTCTAAGGCAGCTGGCGAAGGATGATTTTATGAGACCCACTAACTGGACAGTTAACAAGAAGAGGAGGATGTTCCAAAGTTTTCCACGGTAGAAGAGCTGGATGACTGTGGAAATGAGAAAGAATGGAAAGAATCCAGTGATAACTGCTTCATAGGTCATCCACAAGTGATGTTTGTGAAACCACATTGCATTGTACAGCCACTCTCGGAAATAGGACTTGCTCCAACGGGTCTGCTGGTTTAACCACCTGAGATACGCTATAGGAGTTTCAGTAAGGCACTTCGATCGAGCTGTGTATTTCGTTGCATAGCCCAGACTCAGCACCCGGTTCGTTAGATGCCGGTCATCACCAAAACTACATTTGTTGCCCAGAAATTCCTGATTGTACCAGTCTTCTACAAATTCATTGAGCAAGGAGTTTCTGTACATTCCCAGAGGTCCACTAATGCACTGGACGCACCCAAAATAAGACTGACAAGCTCTTTCTATGTTAAAAGCCATCCAGTACCTCACACTGCTGAGGAAGGAGATCCAAGAATCATACTTGTTTAAAATCTGCAAAATAGTAAACAAACAAACAAATCAATAAGTAAATTGTAAGCTTTATCCCCAAAATACCAACAAAACCTACACCATCCTGAGTTTACTTCCTAGAATGAGGCTTGTTATTTTATCTTCCTGTTTTGATTCCCTCGCTCTTTTTGGCAGGGTTTAATTCTGTTTTCTCTGATTCTGTGTTACTAGGTTAATTTGATAACTTCTTGTTGTTTTGTATTTGATAGGGACTCTTTGATGGTATTTGTTTTTTCTTCTTCACCGTTCTTTATAGTCTTTTTGCTGTTACACAGTTTGTTCTCATTCCTCTACTGTATTGTCATAATGAGTTTTTTAGCCTTTAGAGCTCAGTCCTCAAATTTTTTGCCAGATACTCTTTCCTGGTAGCGTTTTGCGTCCGACTGTCTCCTGTCCTTCTGACATTCCAACTCATCCAATTCTTGGCCATTAGTTTTCCTTCTCCTTCCTTCCCTCCTCCTCCTTCCTTCTTTTCTACAATGCCAGTTGCTCTGCCCTTCCAAAGTTTGAATCCTAACATTTTGTTCTTTACACAAAGGCTATTATAAATTATCAGCTTGCTCCTGGCAATATTTCTTGAATTCTCTCCTTGGTCTCCTTCTGTTCAGTTGTCATGTGGAGTTTGCTTGTTTCCACTCTTTCTATTGCCAGGCTAGTTCCCTGTCCTCTGTAATGTGTTTTCTTGGACTTCACTACTACCATGCACATATAGCAACAAAATACCTAAATTTTCAATCAACTTTCTCATGTGCATTTCACCTTTTGCTGACATTTAGTTTCACATCTGTACAGGACTCACTTTAATCTTCAAATATATATATATATTTATTTATTTATTTACCTTTATTGTGGATTTCATGTATTTTTCTACCCTTCAAATTACAAATTACCTTCATTAATATTTGTTTGTTTCTCCACTGATAGAAAATTACGAGTCATATTAGAGACTCCAATATGTCACTGTTCCTTTGCCTTTCTCACCAGTATGAATTTTGGTTGCGGTTTCTCTCTTTTGATCAATAACATATCTGCCACTTTTAAATATAGAGGTAAAGGATATAGAATGCATTAGAGGCCTTACTTCCATTTCATTACTACTCAACAAAATAAATTTTTAGCATTGAATTTGAGCAGAACATTAAGTTATTGTTTAGAGACCTATGGCAGAAATTATTACACATTTATATTATGTTGCTTTATAACCTGTCAGTGCCTATAGACATGAATTTTATTCCAGGACTAAGGAAGGAAAATGTTTCAATTTTGTCAGAAGAGCTAGTACAGAGGGTACAAGACACCATAATGTGTCTCCAGAGCCAAACAATACCTGCTACAGAGTTGATGCATAATACACATATGTCCAATGAATCAATGAATTAAAATTAGTGCTACAAAAGTATGATGCAAAGAGTGAAGATATATGCACCTGGACATCTCCCCCAACTCCTCCAACCATGGGATCTTCTTCTAAAACTTTCACCATCTCCACAGATGAGGCAGGGTCCAGCATGGTATCTGAATCACATACCTGCAAAGAAGAAAGTAGAAAAGGAGTTCAAGAAAAGGAAGAACTTCAATGGCTCTGAGTCACCCTTGGGGCCTGGAATTTAACTCACTTCCTGGCTTACCTCCCAACCAAACAATAGAGATAAGCCTATGAGCTGAACACCTACACATTTCTGAAACCAAACTAAGTACATCTTCAAGATTATTGTTGGAATTCATTGGAACCATTCTATACACAAGGCACTGATAGGAAACCCCTTACAGACATTTCTTTTGGGTATCCAAGGCAGTAGGGTTAAAAAGACAGAGTATTTCCCTTTCTTAACTTGTGATTCAGTTGAAAAATAAAACTAAAGAAAAAATTAGATATGGAACCAAAATATCACCACTATATTGGTAAAGCCAATAAGGAGAATATGGCTGACACATGTGAAGTAGGCTTCATGGTTTTGTTCCCCAGTCTCAGTCTCAAAGGGCATCAGGGTGGAACTAGCCTCCTCCTGTAAGTCTGGAGCCTTCCCCTTCAAAATGTATGGTGATGCCTGCAACTTGGGAAAGGAGAGGCTAGGTTACCCAGATTGGTCCCTTCTTCCAACCTCACCAAACAGTTACTCCTCTTCTTTGCATGAGGAAGAAGTGAGACAGCTGAGAAAGGCCCAGGTGGGTCCACCTGTGGATGGATTTCATCCACATGATCCTAGAAACTCGCATTTAGACAGGAAGCTTACTGAACAGCCATCATATTCTTTTCTACTGAATGCAGAATCCTCCAGGCAGCAGTTATACATTGATCAGAGTTGGCAGCTGATGAATGAAACTGACATCTCCAACCAGACAAGGAATGGCATGGTTCACAGAGACTGGGGTACACAGTGCTGTCATCTAGTCTGGCTTCTCTGGTGGAATTTAGTCAAACTTAACCTACTTCTTTATACAAAAGGAACTAACAGTTCTCCAAACTACTCTTTATAAAACTCTTTATAATAATAGTCAGAATTTGACATAACAGTTTTAAATGAAACTAAGAAAACAATTTGTAAGATCAAAACAGAGTTGAAGGGGGATTTATATGTATATAGCATAAGCCCCTCACAGTATTGCTAAGAAACCCCAACATTTCTAAAATTTACATCTGTCTTTTTTCTTACTAGTAAGTTTTTTTTTCTGAAGAGCTTATATGTTAACGAAAAATGTGGGTGAAATAGCAATTGAAATGCATTATTGGAACTTAGGACTTTTAAAGAGTATATGAAGCATTTGTTTGTAAAAAATGATCTTATCACCTCTCCAGATTTAATAAATTATAGTAAATTCAGTGTTAATTTCTGAATGTTTTATTTCATTTTACTTCTTTAGAAGCACACATACACACATTTAACTAGATTTAGGCATTCTGTTTTGGTCCAGCATGGTCTCATTTATTTTAGAAAAAAAATAGTAAGAGGTAAAAACTAGGCATTAATTTTTTCTAGTAGAAAATGTTGCTGTTCGTAGGTGTTGTATTGATTGTGACTCAAGGTAACCCTATGTGACAGAATAGAGCCACTGAGTTGGTCCAAACTACAAACTTTTGGGCTAGCAGCCTAGTGCTTAACTGTTACGCCACTAGGACTCCTTATAGGACTCTTGTTAACTCTTGGGTATGTACGCCAGTGTCCCTAGCCACAGAACCAAACCCACTGCCATCAAGTCATTTCTCACTTAGAGCAACCCCCATTGGGTTTCCAAGGCTGGAAATCTTTATGGAAGTAGATTGCCTCATGTTCCTTCTGCAGAACAGCTGGTGGGTTTGAACTGCTGACCTTCTGGTCAGCAGCCAAATACCTTATCCACTACACCACCAGAGCTCCTTGTCCCAAGCCACAAGAGCCTAGTAAATCCCTCCAAAAGTGTACTTTGCCTCTGCAGTGGCTGGTCTATCACTGGTCTGTATAAGGCGACAAGCTGAGTGGGAGCCCTGTCATGAGGGTACAGAAAGGTGAAGGCCCAAATCCAGCCACCTTTAGAATTCATCCTGAGATTTATGGCCACACCCACCTCTATTGATTTAAGCCGGGAAAGGTAAAACCAAGAAGCTAAAATAGGACTAAAGACAACAGGAAAGGAGCAATCACGAGTTAGTGTTTAAATAACTCCACCTGCTTGAAAGCCTAGCAAGTCAGGGGAACTGCCTCTTTGAAATGACTAAACGGGAACCACACAGTTGAGGTTCTGCCTATTTAAATTGGTGCCTGTTCCTCCCAGTTTCCAACAGCAAAATTCCAGAAGTTCTCTGAGAGAGATTGTTCTCAAGGCGGCTTTGGCTGTGTGAGAAGGGAAACCTCTCAGAAACGTCTCAGAAAATGGTTTGTTCTCATGGGATTTGACAGCCTTAAAGACATGCAGTTTCTGAAAGCTGTTTGGTGATAGAGCAGTGTGGTAAAGCCATTGTCTGTGAGTATCTGTAAAAGCATATGTGTTCATGGATATAACAGCATTTACTTAAGAGGGTGTAGAGAGCATAACTCGCCCTTCTTGAAATCAGTAGAGGAGAGACAGGATTTCTAGTTGTCTCCTCACCAATTGATCCCAAGTATATAATTTCACAAATGGTGGCTATTTAGCTCTGGGCTAGAATCTTTGGGAGTTCTGCAGTGCTTACCCCTCACATAGGGAAAAACTACAGGACATAATTTGCACACAGGAAACAATTAGAGAACAAATCAAAATGGCATTCAGGCCACACTGAGTGAACCATTTGTAATTTGTTTAAACTACATGATCACAAGCCATAGGATTTTCACTAAGAGATACGGAAATGAAGCACTAACCTAGTTTTTGAGAAAATAAGTAGAAAATGTAAGGCGAAAAAGACGTTAGAGTGAGGAACCGGCGTTCTCAGCCTTAACCACAAGATCAACAAGTAAAGTTCATCAGACTATCACCCTTCTTCCTCCACTATTCTAATCAGGAGTTAGCACAATGCACACCTTTCCTCCCAATAATCTAAAACGGGCCAGAAAACTATAGCCTGCAGGCAACTCTGTCCCGCCACTTGTTTGTGTAGAGCCCATAAGCTAAGGTTTCTTTTTTTTTTTTTCACATTTCAAAATGGTTGAAAATAATCAGGAAAAGGATATTTTGTTACATGTGAAAATTATATGAAATTCAAATTTTAGAGTCTGTAAATAAACTTTTTTGGGAATCTATCCATGCACATTCATTCACATACTGTCTTTGGCGGCTTTCACACTAAACCAGCAGAGGTGAGTAGTTGTGATACGGCCCACAAATCCTAATATTTACTATCTGTCCCTGTACAGAGTTTTCTGATCCTCGTCTAAAATAATTGATTGGTGGGATAGTCTTCTACTTTCATATATATATATATATATATATATATATATATATATATATATATTAACACCAATATTAATTCTCATAGTTTTTTCAAGGTAGCTTCCATGTTTGTGTGTTATAGATAGCAATAACTGCATAATAAGCATAAAATAGTAATTTATTTTCTTTAGCCTAGATTGAACCTATTATAAGAACAAGTGTCTTCAGAATCAAGAAGCCTAGATTAAATTCTTGATTTCTGTAACTTGCTATGTCTATAGCCTTCAACAAACTATTTACTATCATCAGGAGATTCTGCATATAAAAGTACTTTGTGAATTGCAAAGGGCTGTAAGGAGCTCTGGTGGCATAGTGCCTAGGTAAAAGAAGCATAGTGCCTAAGGCCTTTGACTGCTATCCAGAAGGCTGATGGTTCAAACCCACCAGCCGCTCTATGGAAGGAAGACTGGGCAATCTACTTCCATTAAGATTTACTGACTTAGAAACCCAAAGTCAGAATCACCTCAATAGCAGTAGGTTTGGTTTTTTGGTTTTGGTAAAGATGTAAGTCACCAGTATTAGGTAATAGACCTTAAAATTATTACACTCTCTAAGTAATCCCACATCAAAAAGGATCATGACAATCATTAAAGAGGCTTATTAAAAGGAATATGACAATTGATCACATCAAGAGAACCATCATAGGACTCCTTTGTCTATATCATTCTTGTCCGTACTGACTTATCTCACTGGCTTTAAAGTTAATCTAAACCAAAACCAAACTCGCTGCCATCGAGTCAGATCTGACTCAAGGCCTCACAATAATTTAAATAAAAAGCCCGCTCCCCGAAATATTTGTTATTTCTTCCAGCATGGCCTTTCAAATTATAAGACCCAATTCCAAAAGCCAAAATTCTCTGTTTAACTATTTTAAACATCTTTCCCTTGAGACTGACTGATGGACCCTTTCACCACCACCACCACCCTGCAAACACATACCCCACGTCAAAGAGGATTGAGAGCCAACACACCAAGGGGAAATCTTAATTACTCTGGCTGCCTTCAATGGGGGAAACAAGTTGAAAAATCAAGACCCCTTTTGATGCTGCTGCCTTTACTCTTTCCCTGATTATAAGCCTCAATCCTTTCTTAACCTTGACCCTTCTTCTTAACAATAACTCAATATAACTATTTCTAGAGTGAGTGGAATTTACTCTTGGTCATGACCTTGGTCATGGCAGCTTCCCTGCCACAACTTAACCCCATAGTAAATGGAAACTCCCTCCTCCACCCATTTCTCTGATGAAAAAGGGATTGGGGTCAGAACTAAAATTTTCACAAATCATTATGTACTAGTCAATACAAGATGATGCCAGTCTCTCTGAATTCCTAACGGTACCGCATCAGCGTAAACACTACTGAGAGGAAAAGAAAATACTATGCAAAATCTTAGAGTTGAATTCCAGTCTACCATTTGCCCACTAAGTAAACCTAGACTAGCTTCTTAGCTTGGACTCCTTACCTCACCTCTTTAAGCCTCCACCCCCCATGTGAAAAATATGGATAGTCATCTTTGTCTCCTTAGTTTGTAATAATGACTAGTTTTGCTTAATAGTAGCTAGCTCACAATCATTGCTCAATAAATGTAAGTCATATATACTACGAAGTACTAACCCAAAACCAGAGGTACAAATACAGGACACT